GTCTGTACACACATTCAACAGTTAGAAAGTACCGAACTAAAGAATATGACATGCCTGAGTGAGTCCCTAGGATGGCAACAATCTCGACAGATGTCGACGGTTCCATTCTTGACAATGTATCTCCGATAATTGTTGTTATTAATGACAACAGTAAAGCAAGTACTTGTATTCCTGTAATCAATTATTCTATTTTACTTACATAATGTCCAACCATCTAGTAGCATATCTTGCTATAATAAAACAATATGGAACAATACTACATACAATTTATTTGCCTTAATTTTATTTATAAAAAGTAAATATTGCCTGTTGTATCAGAGACTCTATATATAGATAAAACAAAGACAGCCAACGTAGAAGATGTTATGACGATAGCAAACGGTAATGTTCGCAGAAACGCGATAAAGACTCGAGTTTTGTGTAAACATAGCATTAATAGGCGTTATTAATTTAATTATCCACTTAGGACGAAAGCGTGGAGCGGTTGTAAAACGTGGCTGTAAAAGTTAGTAGAAGCGAACCGGCGTCGCGCTGACGTCTATAGGTAGTTGTTTTTTTTTTTTTTGAAACTGTACCTCCACTAAAGTTGACTTTCTGGCCTGAAGAACGAACTTACATTCCACTTGATGGTAAGTGCCTACTGCAGTTCATGAATACCTGCAGCCAAGTTCAAACAAAGAAGGCTACAGATGCTTTGTCATCGCTGAGAATAAAGATGTAATAATATATTGTGTTCCACTCTGAAGGCCTTCCCTATTATACCTTTCAGACTACTACTGCTATTTCGCAACAGAAATAATTTAAAAAAAAATCCAGCACTAGTCGCAGTCTACATGAATACAAACAAATTGAAATATTTAGTACTGCCTAAGAAGCTCCAAGAACCATTAAGAAAGATAAAGACCTAGGAACCAATCCCATTTTATATAAATATCTCAATAACTTAAACATCAATCAATCAATGTATGTGTAATAAATGGATGCATCTATTATCTCCTGTCAAGAATATCTTTATAATGAAAGTGCTTTACTAAATACTAGTAATATGATACCAAATGAACGTAACATAAAAGCTCATTTATTTGTTTAGTGAGTGATAACATCCAGATTTTAACCTAGTAAAATTTATCAATGCTGTTGAGTATCAATGTATTCCATTGTGTTCAAAGTTTCAGGAGCTGCTGCATACAATTTTATTTGCATATGAAAACAAACTAACAATAAAAATAGCATTAGATAGTGATGCGAATTTAAAGAATTGGTCTATAAAAATAAATCGTTATACGTCATAATATGTATACGATTTACGACTTGTGCGCAATACGAAATCAAACAAAAACAACCTATAGATTTTTACTATAATATTGTAGGAAGTGGTCTGTGCCTTAGTATGTATTGTCTCAGGTGCCCCTATTTCGCAAATCAATGAGGAAAGACCGCGCTACCGACGACAGCATAAAATAACTCGAAAGATTTATTCCGCCTTTTCCAAGTTTCTTACATTATTATTTTTATTACTATGTATTAGGTGAGATAATTATATAGATATTTTACTACATAGTAGGACTTCTTTTCTGCTTCCTTTCCTGTCTGGGTTTTTACCAGAGATGTGACTTATTTTAGAAACAAGTTTTTAAATACGGATAAAAGATAACTTTCACCTTGTATCTGAAATACATTTTTAATTTTCATTTCCTATCTTGTATTTTTTTTAAAAACATGCGTGAGTGTCGTGGAACGAAGTTCCTTTCGTAGTATATTATTATTGATAAACGTATTATAATTATTGATTAACAAATACAAATAAATGAATTACTAGCGTCTATTAAAATGAAGTGTCATTTAGAATAAAATAATATTTCTTTAGTGGTAAGATAAGAAAAATTGTGAGGGAGATGGATATTATTCCATTTCGCTTCCTTATAGCCGGCAAGGTCTACACTACGTAAGAAGTGGTCATGACGGAAAAATCTTACACATTTTCTCGCCTTGCCCCCATCCACCAAATTCGTACCGTCCGATAAGGAACTTCGTTCCAAAAATGTGAACCAGAGGTAAATAAAAATTTACTTTCAATAAGTATTATGTAATAATCAATATTGAATAAAAATCATCCTATTCTATTCTATTCTCTATTTCAAGTGGCGACAACACAGGCTGTACTAGCAGCACCACTGACAGAAAAACTTCAATACCTAAATAATATAGGCATCAGTCTGAAAAGTTTAAATGTTTATCCTACAATTAAATATTTTTTTTAAATATAACACCTGTTGGCCGAGTTCCGCTCCTGTGCAGCGACTCTTCCCTTTTGGGGGGATGATAATGAGAGCTCATAAATGTTTGAATAACTGGTTTTACTGTTTTCACTATTATTTACTCTGTGGTTTTACTTAAGTCTTAATTAAAACCTCAAAGCTTTTTATTACTTTTTGGTAACGTTAACGGCGTTAAATAAGTGGTCAATTAAGGTCCGGGTTCAGTTCAATGGTTCAAATACTCGTACTTGTGGCGCTGCGCTCACGCTTACCTTCAGGCAAGCCGGCTGCGTGCCAGGCTCCGGTTACAAAGTGTCGCGTTACTAACATTGTTTTGTCTGTGTGGCTCTTTGCTCGATGAATATGACGCATATTATACGCCTGGAATATTTCCTGATAAACAATCTTCTATGCTATGGAGAGTATGCTCAGAGTGTCTCTGCGTGATGAACTTAGAAATGTATTTCTTTATTTAACAAAATATACACTTACAACACACGTATATGACGTTATCATAAAACATACACATTTTTACATCACATTGTACATCACATTCACAGTTTGAGTCGTGCAACTTCATTTTGAATTAATTTGGAGTAGGAATAACATCCAATCAATACAATACAATGAGAAATTATTCAAGTAAATTATGTACCTAAATAAGAAAAAATCTATTGAAAATAAATGTTTTTAAGGTGTGACAACGGGGTGGGGGGGTGTGGGGGGGGGGAGATATATTTACGTGGAACAGCTAATAATGCGATCAAGAAGGTCACTGCACTTTACTTTATTGTTTACTATTTTCAGAAAAATTATATCCGCAGAAGAATCAGAGTTACCGACATAGCCCTAGGGATAAGTAATCTGAAGTGGTAATGAGCCGGCCATATAGCACGAAGGACCGACAACCGATGGAGATTAAAGGTTCTCGAGTGGCAACCTGGTACCGGTAAACGAAGTGCAGGGCAGTCCCCACTAGATGGTGACGACCTGCTAAGATAGGTAAGATATTAAGGAAGTCGATAGAAGCAGGTGACTCAGGAGCGTGCATTGCTTAGAGATTATCATCACAAAACACGGTTTATTGACAATCTCTGGTTTAAACTATGGCTTACAAACATCCTTATAACTAAAGATGTCTCTTAACACTTTCACTGTGCGGTTTTCAGACACAATAGTAAGACAATAGCAATGACCTATATGTAGTGCACGGGACAGCGAAAGGGTTAAGCCCGTAACCGCGGCGCCACACTCTTTGCAAAAATTGACATTTGCTGTCAAATTCTATACTTTACAGTTTAGTTCGCATATTTCCGCGGGACATCTTTCGTGAATCAGATTTTAGTTTAATTCTGATACTAAATATACACTACTTTTTATAAAGCCTATTTGTTTGCGTGACGTCGATATAGCAACGGGCATAATAGGGGCGATCTGCTTGCTAAATAATATCACCCGGGGTGATTCCTATAATGAGCCAGGGGAAAGACAATCGATAGCACAGTGTCACGAAAAAAGACCATAAATTAAGATTTACGAGGTACCAAGATAGTACTGATAGGTTTGCCAAATAAGTTACAGTCGGACTATAACTATTACAGCTGATTTATTTACTCACTGGTTCTTCCACGGACTTTTTTCAAACCAGTGGTAAAGCTTAAATGACTAATTATGTATTCTTGTAATGTATATGGAATAAAAATGATTATATTCTATTCTATTTACAACCCCTTGCTCCATCTGTATAGTAGTGAGTGACTCCAGAACTTAAATACATCGACAAATGCAAAGATAATACTAAAATATTTTTTTGATATAAAACTGAATTTACAAATGAACATACAATTTCTTACGTGGTACAAATTCTTACGTGGTAGAGCCATGCTGCTGCTATATTAGTAGTATAGTTGTAGCACGAATGAATCGGCTCGACCGGGGAAGGACCACGCTCTCACAGAATACCAGCGTCAAATAGCAGCTTCATGCTGCTGCGTTTCGTACGGTGAGTGTAGAGAACCGGAGACCCTTTTTACTGGAAAAGAGGCATTCTATCTTAGTCCTCACGGATGAAAACGCATCTGCATTTTGATTCGCAAACGAGGATAGATGTAGATGTCTATGGGCCACAGCAACCACTTACCATCAGGTTGGACTGTTTGCTCGTTTGTCACTCTATCCTATAAAAAAAAATACAATCTATCTGATGGTAAGTGGCTACAGCAGTGCATGGACATCTGCAGCCAAATTTTAACAAAGGCAGCTACAGATGCTTTGTCAGTAGAAATAGGTAAAGGGTGGTGCGTACCCAAACTAATTCCTAGGCAGAAAATATGCTTTTAAAAAAACTAAATACACTCTATAGTTAAGATAGTGATACATACCCAAACAGATTTCGGAAGCAGAAAATATACTAAACTAAATTCACTCATTATTCCTTTGTGTAGTGTATACTTTGTATACGTCCCATAAGATATAATGGCCCTAGTTTAGTTTGTAAGAACAATTAATTTACGAAGAGCAAAAGCAGTAAGCATTAAAACGACACTTTTCTTTTCTTTTATACATCCATACCAATTAAAATAACCGTTATATATCGTAAATCGTAATGTTACGGCTTGTACTTTTAGTGTTAGTGGACACTAACGTATTAAGCCAATAAAAATAAGTAATGAAAAAAAACAACTTATAGTCACAAAACATGTTTTAAAATTTAAAATGTTATGAATAAGTAATGAAACCGACCTGCTTGAATGATCCTGGAAGTTCCCGCCGTCCAACAACCGAACCTTCGCGAACAGAACCGCGGATACGAAGGGCACCTCCGTGAGCTCCTCGAGGCAACACTGCACCCCGAACTTGTATCGCTTTTTCTTCGTCATGAACGCCATGACGTCACAAACATCGGGCAAAAAGAACCAGCCCGCACTTGCGCGCACCGGATCTAACCGGTTTGGTGCGGATCGAACCGGATTTTTTGAACGCACTAACACTAGCACAAGCACTTCACTTTACATGTGTGTCGCGACAACGCACGTGTAAATGAACGTTTTTGTTTAGAATTGAAAACACTATCTATGTAGATGAGTAAAGTGGTGGAGCAATTAGTTTGGCATCAGTCATTGTGTCCGTGGTACGGTCGTGGCTCGAACAGTCGCATAGCGGTCGCAATCGTTAGCCTGTAAAGAAAAGAAATCGATAAATACATTGAGGCTATATAAATAAACTAAAACAACCAATATATATTTTATCTAAAAAATATAAAATAATACATAAATATCACTACCACCAATCAGACACTTTTTTACTGGAAACGAGACATTCTATCTTTGTCTGCAGGGCTCACAATAAATCTGCATTTTGTTTCTTAATCCAGGATAGATGCAGATGTCTATGGACGACAAAGTTCACTTACCATCAAGTGAACTGGTTGCTCGTTTGTCACCCTTATTCTATTTAAAAAAAAATCAACCGGTATGTATTACGTCGTCACATTTTTGGGCTACAAAGAATACCATTACAACCTATCAAAAGCTCACTGCTAAACATAGGGCTCCCGCATAGATGCCTCATTGTGAGGATATTTGCCATAGATGCCACGCACGGCAGGCGGGTTGACTTTCTTTACTTTTACTCTGCTTTTAACAGGAAGATATGCTGCTGCCCATCTCCTTGTTCAGTTTCGGGTAGTGAATATTCTTACACCGTCACTACACGGTGACACTACCACAAAAGATAGTTGCGCAACAATGCTAAGTTTTCACATGTTTTGTTTAGTGTTTACAATTTTAACACAATAAAAGAAAAATCCAGAAAAATCTTATTGCTGCCGATAGATGGCAGCATATGCAGAAGTTAACCATCTCGTTTAGGACAGGTGGAAAATGTCCACACTGGCAACGGGCAGTACCGTCAAAGGTTTAAAAAAAAAACTACTAAGACGAAATATCCATAACTCTTTATCCCGATGTAAACTTTATCTGCACGCTGTACACTGGACGAGATCTTGTCGATTGACTGACAGCAAAAAGTAGATCCAAGACAGCCGAATCTAAATTTCACAAACTGTTGAAGGCCAGCAACATTGCGATTACGAGGTTATTGAATCTGCCTCGTTATTCTAGTGGTCGTAAGTGCTACTGTTGATCATGAGGTCCCGAGTTCGAATCCGGGGTCAGGACAAAATCAGATAATGGGTTTTATTGCTACTAAATTCTCCGTAGCAGCTCGGAGTCAAGAAGCCTGACTGTGATGTGCCTCGCAAAGTACGTTAAGCCGCAATTACTGTCGTTGATATCTCTCCGGTCGTGTCAGTTGACGCCCCATTGGACTATGAGAGTGAGGGAATAGTGAGTGTACGTGTGCTTGCGCATACACTCGTGCACTATAGTTCTGTTCTGCGCACATGGCTAGTCTCCGTTGGAACCGACCGCCGCGCCGTGACCGAAAATTCGGTCTGGAGGACATTATTATTATTGAATCTGCGCCCACTGACCCTCCAGTCTGCCATGCTTAGAGCCAATCTTTCAAGTAATGCATGCCAGCAGGCATATTTTTGGGCCTTAAAAATAATGTTAAAAAAAGTGGCATAAACGATGCAAATCTACAAGAAGCAATACAAAACCTTTCAAATGAAAGAACAAAATTCGATAATGAATCTCATAGTACCTGGGAAACCTTATAACCAATCTCCTATTCAATCTGGATGCACGTACTCGTATATACACTTTAGCGGTTTTGTGAAACCGAAAAGTACGAATATAAAACTTTTCACATTTCAGAGTTGCAGTGTTCGCCACCAGAATCACGCAATCTTAGTTCTACAAAATTTGAGTATAGGGAGAGCATGGCTCAACCTGCTATTAGAAGCCCACAGAATAGCAGTTTCTAACCCATAATAATTCAAATGTGTTTAGTCTTTATGTTCTTCAGTCTTAATAGATTTTTTGGTAAAAAAATATTTATTTACTAATATAGAGTGTAAGGCATTCCATCCTAATCATTAGTGGTAACACAGCATATTATTGTGACTTTCTTTGTTTAAATTGAGTTGCAAATGTTCATGGAATGTACTACGTACTACCAGGTGACCGTTAGCTCGTTATTTATTCTAGCATTTATGAAAAAGTAGCGCTCCGCCCCGGCTTCGCACGGGTGATTTCTGGATCTCGACAACAGCGCCACCTACCGGATGCAATTGAGTTTTTAAACCATCCAGGGTTATATTCACACACAAATAAATTCATCAAAATCGGTCGAGCCATTTTTGAGTTTTAGCGAGACTAAAGGACAGCAATTGATTTTTATATATATAGATAATTATATCGCTAATTATCTATTTCTATACATTATTTATCTATTTATATACAAAATTCAAGTATATGTCTATAATATCGAAATAACTGTTTTATACTGAGCAGATGAGGTTATTTGCAAGTCATTAAGACAAAAATAACCACTTTTAAAAAATTTGTCTGTCTGTCTGTCCGTGCTTCACAAATAGATAGAGAGCAATGTCAGAAGTGATCTAAGACACATTTTGTACGAAAAACTTCGAAAAATTGATAAGATAAATGGTCTTTGATTATGTTAAATGTAAAAAAACGTTACGTTAATAGCTCCTTCTCAGGCGAAGCCGGAGCGGGTCGCTAGTATATACTATACATAAGATAATCTAATATTTTCAGTAGACTTCAAAAAAAGAAGGAGATTCGAAACTCAATTGTATGTTCTTTATGTTCTTACGCGATATCTTCGTCAATAGTAAACCGATTTTGAGGACTCCTTTTTGTTAAATAGGTTACACTTCATGGGTAGTCCCATATAAATTTGGAGAAATTCCGCCCCTAAAAAAAAGTCCCACTGGGTTTCTTGCTGGTTCTTCCCAGGAGAGAGATTTTTTTGCGAACCAGTGGTAAAAGTAAAAAATGACTTTCAATAAGTATTATGTACCTATAATCTATATTGAATAAAAATGATTATACTATATTTTTCTAAGGGTGATAAAATACGGAGTGAAGTATTAAATGAAACTTTTAGAGGACATTAAGATTGTTATGTATTCTTCTACTCAATATGTCTTAGCACCGACTTCCGAATGTGAAATTATTTTATTGTATCAAGTCAGATTTCACCGAGTACTGGCGGTGTAAGAATATCCTCTTACACTACTTCCGTGGGTGTCGTAAGAGGCGAAAGAGGTAAACAAATCAGAAGATGGGTAGCAGCGTCTTCCTAATGACCTTTCCTAATGCTTGCCAAGCATGGCAATCATAACTCTATAGGGAAGACCTATGTTCCACTATGGTAACAGAAGTCGGCTTTTACTTTTTATCAAGTTAATTTTTAATTTAAGCTAAATCTAACACGACCTTGTACGACGTCGAATTTAAGCAAAATTAAAATGAATACACTTCTTACCGTATTTTCTATATCCAGTCTTCATTTAAAAGCTACTGCGACTTCAATTCCACGATTACATGTATGTATGTATATAATGTACATATATATAATTGCACCTGCCACAAAATCTCAACACTCCACGGGTTGACTGGCAGAGAATGCCGATAGAAATGAAGTCCGCTCTTTGTTACGCTATTTTCTTAAGGTGTTAACAATACAAGTTAAATAAATAAATACACAAACAGCAGGGCGGTACCCGATCGTTGTGACGCGATATTACATCGTTGACGGTCAGTAATCGACTGAGCGGGACTTATGTGATAGCGTATCATTGTCAAGAGCATATGAGATTTTAGAGCTGAGGATTATCACTACGTTATCCAGTAATGACTGCCTTAAGCCACGCGTGACGCGATATAGTACAAACAATGAAAGTAACTTTTTTATTCGCTGATAAAATTTTAATAAAAGGTAAAAAGTTGCAATTAACAATTTCATTGGTGCTGGCAAGGATCGAACCCGGGTTGCTACTGTAATATTTACGGCGAGAATTAAGCCCCTGAGCTACCACGGCTCTTTTGATACCTAAAGGCGATTTTAGGAAAGTTGACAGCTCAAAAGCGACTATGAGAAATGCATTACGGCTCTAATGGCTTTCGGTAGGCCGGCAAAAAAGAGCAACTTCAAAGTTGTGAAATACTGCGATCATCATTTGAACATTATGCTATGAATATGCAGTCCATATTTTATGTTGACTGTAGAGTCTGCAACCTCAGCTGCCCTGCCGTGCCGACCGTTCCCGAGACACGGTCACCAATCTAGTGGGCAGTACACACTAACTATATTACGTGTTTTAGCCAAGTCATTAATCAGGCCACTATTTTTTTTATACGATAAGGGTGACAAGCGAGCACACAGTCCACCTGATGGTAAGTGGTTACTGTGGCCCATAGATATCTACACCTATACTTACTCGTTTGCGAGTCAAAATGCAGACACGTTGTCACCCTTGAGGACTGCTGACTGATGGAATGCCTCATTTCCATTAAAATGGGTCTCCGCTTCTCTACACTCACCATACAAAACACAGCAACATTAAGCTGCTATTTTACGCTGGTATTCTGTGAGAGCGTGGTCCTTCCCCGGTCGAGCCGACCCATTCGTGCTACAATTATACTACTAATATAGCTGTAGCATGGCTCTACCATGTAATCGAGGATATATGTATGTCTATGGGCCACAGCAACCTTTTACCATCAGGTGGGCTGTGTGCTCGTCACCATTATCATATAAAAAAAACTTTGAAATTTTGAAAAAAAATGTTTTACATAAACCACTTACAATGTTTAGTGTTAGGAAGACCATTGGGCGCGCGGCCAGTTATGGCAGTCCGCCGCATTGTAGCCCGGTGCTCACATGACCTGGAACAATGCACACATTATTTATACAAACTGCGAAATGGCCACACAAGCACGACTTCACAGAACCCGCAGGCAAGCCCGACCGATTATATTTCATCTCTTTATTTTATTAATACCAGCGACTCGCCACGGCTTTACCTGGATGAGATCTATTGATGTGGCGTTATTTAAATTTAAGATACTCAAAGACCATTTATATTACACTTTTTTCGTTTTATTTTTTCAAAAAAATCTTCAAGTTTAACAGATAAATATTATAGCCTTGATCCCACCCGACATTGCTCTGTATTCAGCGGTCCAACCATTCCGAAGACTAACCCAGCCAGACAGATAATTTTTTTAAATATAATAAAATATAAATAGATACCTACGCTACTACCCACCTTCCCGATAACAACTAAAAATAAAAAATAAAACTCTGTGTCAAACTTGGCAACCATGGCCAATATGGGCAATGTGCGTATGAGGCAATCTATGGAGGAGGCCTTTGTTCAGCAGTGGACTTTTAATATAATGTAAAGGTAACCGTAACGTACATATACACAAATAGGGAAAGTAAATATAAAGCGGGATATAAAACAGGAAATATAAGAATTAAAGATCATAATTTACCTAACAACACTCGATTGATGCCTACATGTACGTGCAGTTTGCAATTTTCACCGTACATAAGCTTGAAACAATTCATCCGAACGCAATTAATCAACGTAAAACAGAATTGAAACGAGGCTGCCGAGGTCGCGAGGAGTAAAATCAAACGTAATAGCGGCGGTTAGCCGTCACCGGCCGAGATCGACCTTCGCGCACCAGATTTCTTCTTTAAAAACTTTTGCTCATCTACTTAATAGACATTTTCAAGAATGCGGCTAACTTGAAGATTTACTCATGTTTGCGCGGCGGTACGCACGCTCTAAAATAAATTTGTCACCATGAAAGAGTGGCTCCTTCAAGCATAGGTGCACGGCTGTACCTATTTAAATTATTGGTTAAGAAATAAAAATTTTTGTCATCTTTGTATTATTTATAATTCGCAAACGCATCAAAACCATATAGAGTACTTCCCGATGACCTTGCACTCACTAGTGAAGCTGATCCGTATCATTAGTCTGTGTGATTTCGGTTCAGCATTTTCTTTCCAATTTTGGTCACAGCGTCCAACGGCTTTACGTTTTTCTTTTATCGAAGTGAGGGGACAAACGAGCATGCGGCTCACCTGATGGTAAGTGACTACAGCCGCCCATGAACAACCGCAACACCAAGAGAATTCCAGGTGCGTTGTCGGCCTTTTAGAAAGGAGTAAGCTCTTTTCTTGAAGGTTATGTTTTGATCGTGGGTGAAACACCGCCAAGTTTCTAACGCCGGGCATCTAATGAGAATTTCTTAACAAAAACCCAATAACCGATTTTGACCCGTCCCGGGTTTTAAACCAGAGATCTCATGATCAGCAGTCACACCTTCAGTCACTAAACAACGAGGCAGTTATAATAGATACTGATACATTTACATATTAATACACTAAACTTCGAAGTCGACGACCTCCAGAGTTACAGAAACACACTGCTGATTATGCAAAACAAATTTTGAATTTTTACAAAACACTAGCGATCCGCCCCGGCTTCCCACGGCTGTTTTCTGGGTTTCGACATCAACGCCACGTACCGGGTCCAATTTTAAATCTAAACCATCCAGTGACCCACTCAAACACACACAAAAAATTTCATCAAAATCGGACGAGCCGTTTTCGAGTTTTAGCGCGACTAACGGACAGCAATTGATACTTGTATAAAGAAATATAAGTATTTAATATTGGAGTATAGTGAAAGACGAGCTGACAGTCCATCTGATGGTGAGAGGCAACTTTGTTAATGGGCACCTGGAACTGATACAAAATATTTTTTTGGTTCACCCACCCTTTTTTGGATAAAGATGAAATGTCTCACAACTTATTGGACCTGCTAACCTATTATATGTTTTAGAAAGTTGTATATAATAATGTAATACTTGACAACTACTAAAATTTGACGGCTCCATGGCGCAGGGAATTACCAATGAGTTAAGCGCTGAAGACCGCTGGTTCGAATCCCGTATGACCTATAAGTTATTGTTTCGAGTCTAGATGTTTGTCCTTGTGCAATTTATGTATGTAAACTGCCTCCATAATACAAGATAAAATCCTAGTGTGAGGTAACGTCTTATAAAAATAAAAAAATAAAACAAAAATATATAATAATATAGGTAGCCTTAAATTTTTACGAAATTATTGAATGATTTAGAAACATATTAGTGACTAACACCGCACTTTACAATAATAAAAAAGGCACGGCATTAAATCAATATAATATCTTGTGAGTCAATCGCTATCACATGGTCCAATGAAGGCCAGAAAAATTCAGTTATCTTAGGGCATTAACGAAGGCCATTCACTTATCACATTTTGTTTGACGAGTTGAAAAATAATATTGCCTACTTGCCTAAGTTGTGGGTCCCTTGTAGATTATCTTTATGTTTATTTCAGGATTATCTCCGCTAAAGTTTTGTATACTTAAGAAGCCTTACGTACGGTCGCTTTCTTATATTTACGCGAGTACTACACATGGAATAAAACTAATTTTACGGATGTTACCGCGTTTAATGTTAACTTTTTTAATTCCCGACGTTTCAGGCACACGTCTTAGGCAGCCTTCGTTGTCATAGTTAACGAAAAAGTTAAAATTAAACGTGATAAAATCCGTAAAATTAGTTTTATTCCATAGTTATCTCGTATAATAATTACCATTTTTGTAATTGAATTTAACAATATTTACACACAGTGTTAATATACCGTTTCAACCCCATTAACCGCATAACCGATAGGGAGACAAACGAGCACACAGTCCACCTGATGGTAAGTGGTTACTGTGACCCACAGACATCTACATCTATCGTCAATAAAGACTCAAGATGCAGAAGCGTTGTCACCCGTGAGGACTAAGATGGAATGCCTTTTTGCCAGTAAAAAAGGTCTCCGGTTCTCTACACTCACCATGCGAAACACAGCAGCGATAAGCTGCTATTTTACGCGGGTTTTCTGTGAGAGCGTGGTCCTTCCCCGGTCGAGCCGACCCATTCGTGCTACAACTATACTACTAATAAAGCTGCAGCATGGCTCTACCACGTTAATAATCGCATGATCAACAGAGAATCAAACTCTTATATAGCTATCTTGTTTATAGATTAAGTATGACAAAGGAACACACAGCCTACCTTATGGTATGTGAATGCTGTGGCCCATATACATCATACAAACAATCAATATGCAGATGCGTTGCCACCCCCGAGAGAGAACTAACATGGATATAATATAAGTGTCTCCGGTTCTCTACACTCACAATAGGAAAGATAGCAGCTTGCTTATTGAACTGCTATTTTACTCCGGTATTCTGTAAGAGCGTGATCCCAGCCGTCGAGCTGAGCCATTCGTGCTACAACTATAACACACATAGATTACCCCCCTCTACCACGTCTAAAAAGTCTATAATATGTTCTCGTTTAGACACCCCTTACCAAATTCATCTTCAAACAAAATATTTAATTATTACATTATAATAATATATAGAATTTAATATTATATTACTATTATATCTATAACTGGAGCAGTACTGAAAGTCAAGTAAACAAACATAATAAAACAGGCAGCCACATGCAAACGGTGGTCGCATTCCTCGGAAGCGCGTTGTGGACTGTGGAGTAATCCGACAGACGTAAGGGACGGGGCGGCGTGTTTCTGCTCAACAGTGAGATATATTCCGCGGGTTAACAGTTTGACATAAACCAGTTAAGACCGCGCACGGATTGTTTACGCAGACACCTCATGAAGATGGCAACTTGCCAAATTATAATACGTTGGAGAGTGCTAACAGCTTTTAGGAATTCTGTATTGCAGAATGTTTCTTAATACTCTCAACTTCCATTTTTTGTATTTGCAACTGTAAATGACTTAGGATTATTATAGACCTCCTGGACATAGGCTCGTCATGCTTGCGGTTCTAATTGGTGACCGTTATATTAAATCGCGCCTTAATACTCACGCCTTTGATACCGTTATCCGTAGCCGCCTGTTATTTGTATTTGCAACTGTATATGCCTTATGATTACTATGCAATGAACATAAATTGACATGAACTCCACTAATGTCGGAAGGATGGCAGGCGGATACTGACCTTAGACCTTAGATCCTGTTACCCGTAGCCACTCTTGATATTTTACTTCACATTTTGTATATACGATGGATGGTATACCATTGTTTATCAGGAGCCATGAGCTCTACTAAAGTTTCCTCGGGATAAAATGGGGAGATGGATTCGCATGGCATATATTATATATAATGAACATTCCACTGTATTTCTTAGTGTCTACCTGTGCGTAGAAATAAGTTTACTACTAATGTAACTCATATCATCCCGTGGTGTCATAAGAGGCGACAGGGGAATCTGAAACGGGAGAAGCAGCATATTCCTGATAAGAACACAAAATAATAAAATTCTGCCGTTACCGCCCGCGAAGCGTGGCAATTATATCTAATCTCCACCGAAGGAGGCAATTTATGAAGAAGCATTGATCAGCATTGGACTTTGATGTTGATGATTTTAGATAGCGGTCGATGTAAAAGCGATCCAAACTTTAGTGGTAATGGTACCGATATATTTGGGCAGTCGTAAAACATTGATGGTTCTGAGCCACCTGCATCCATCGACTTCCTGCATGTCTTAGCAGGTCCATCACTCTATCTAGTGAGGGGCCGTGCTACACTTCGCCTACCGGTGCGAGGCTGATATTCGATAACTTTTCTGCCCCATCGGTTGTCGGTTCGTCGAGCTTCTGCCAGCCGTGCTGTGTGACTTTCCTTGGGAGAGGCCTACATTCAGCAGTGAACTTGTAAAGGGCTGTAATAAATGAACAAATGAAAAAAAAATTGACGCAAAAACACTACTGCCGCAAACATTTAACTTTTGCCCGTAACA